GCACAAACGCGTGCGTGTACGCGGGAGACCTTCCTTAGAGGCCTACCGTCGCCAATGACGCGTAGTCACGGCCGCTCCGCGTGTTGTCGTTCCATAGCATGCACTCGAAGGTCAAACGGCGGATTGATTTGAGCCGCCTCGTTTCCACATCTCTGTGCAGCTTTTAATTCCAGCGCGAACCCAGCGATGAATATCACCACGACACACCGCAGAGACGCCTCCCCCACGCCCCGGGCCCACATGTAATATATCACATTGAATCGCAATCGATAAAAAGACGACAAAGTAAAAAACCGCTACGAGAGAGATCGCCACCGACACCGCGCAGCGCTAATAGAGCCGCCGCGCGCCGCGGCCGGGCAGGAGACGGACGAGATGCAGGAGTACGACATACAGATGGGCGAGATAGAGCCGGAGCACAGCGTGCATAATATACAGGAGGGCGCGCGCCGCGCATGCCTGCGGGCGCGGATGCAATGAGGAGGCGGGATCTGGGGCGTGTGGGGCGTGCGGCGGCGGGGCCGGGGCCGGGCGCGGCGGGGTCGTGGCAGGGGCATCGCGGGTGGGGTGGGCCGGCGCGGCGGCTAGTCATAACCAGCCCGCGTTCGACTGGTTCCAGGTGGGCGGCGGCGGCGGCAGGCTCGCCCAGTGCGAGTGCGTCGGCCGCGCGGGCACCCACGCGGAGCGCCGCGGCGTCACCTCCTCCTCGCTGTCCGAGCTCTCGCTGTCGCTGTCGGGCACGACTGTGCTGCTGGTCGCGGTCGTCGCAGACACAGGGTCCTCCGCGGGCGGGGTCGTGCTTTCCGTCGTCGCGGGCGCCACCTCCGCCGAGGGTGTCTCGGTCGCTGCCGCGGGCGGCGCCACTGCTGCGTCCGCCAGCGCCGGCATAGCGGCCGCAGCAGCAACCACCGGCTCGCCGTCGGCCTTGTCCTTTGCGGCCGTCGCCGCCGCTGCCGCCTCCGCTTCCGCCTCCGCCACCTTCGCCCTCTTCTCCGCCTCCTCCTTGTCCTTCTTCTCCTTCGCCGCCGTCGCCTTCGCCGCGGCCGCGTCCTTCTTCTCCTGCTCCTTCTTCGCCGCCTCCTTATCCAGCGCCGCCTTCCGCTTCTTCTCGCGCTGCCGCCACGCCAAATGATGAGCACCCACGCACGCACGCCCCACACAGAAAAAACGCACCTCCATCTTCTCCCGGCTCTCCTTCGCCTCCTTCTCCTTCCTCAGCCGCTCGCGCATATCGCGCTCCGCAACGACCCACTCCCCCGCCTCCGTCGCCGCCGCCTCCGGGCGCGACTTGTTCTTCAGCAGATCTACACACCACCATCGCATCAGCCTACATCCACAAAACACAAAGGAAGGATAACGCACAGCCCTGCAGCGCCGCAACGCTGAACTCGCCCTCGGGGATCGAGTCCGCGAAGCGCTTCGCGAGCGCCGCGAGCGTCTTCCCGTCGAGCGGGCGCGCCGAGTGCTGCGCCGCGACGATCTCGGGCGCGACCGGCGGCGGGAGGTACGCCTTGTTCGACGACCCGAACTGCGGGAGCAGCGCCGGCGCGGGCGGCGGCGCGGGCGGAGCCTTCTTCGCGCTTGCAGTGGCGCTTGCACCGGCGCCCCCGCCCCCGCTGCTGCGCGCCGAGTCCGCGAGCGTCGACGCGGACCACAGCGACGCGGTCGACGCGGACGCGCTCGGCGTGCTCGGCGTCGTGGGGAACTCGAGGTCCGCGTCGTCGAGCAGCGCGGGGTCCTCGTCCGCGTCCGCGTCCTCGTCCGTGCTCGGGAAGAAGTTGCGGAAGAGCGCCTCCGCCTGCCACCGGCTCGCGTTCTTGAACTCGACCCACACGTCCATGCGCCCCGGGCGCGAGAGCGCCGGGTCGAGCTTCTCGAGGTGGTTCGTCGTGCTGTGCGCGGGGGGTCAGCGAGGGACGAGCGGGAGCGAGACGGGGGGGCGAGCGGGAGCGAGAAAGGTAGAGGGGAAAGGGAGGAACCACGCACGCGAACAAAATGCGGCCCTCCGCCGCGGCCACGCCATCCAGCGCATTCAGCAGCCCGCTCAAGCTGAGCGTATTCAAGTCGCTCATCCCCTCGCGCTCGCGCGCCGCCTCGCGCTCCGCGCGGTGCGAGCGGCGCTTCGGCGGGAGCTCGGGGCCCTCCGGCGCGGGGCCCTCCTCCGCGCGCGACACGCTGCGCGTGAACGCCGCGTCGAGGTCCTCGAGCAGCAGGATCGCGCCCTGGGGTGCGCGCGCGGTCAGCGGATGCACATGGAAGGGAGAGGAGAGGGGGGGAGAGGGAGACGCACCTTCGGCACGCGCCCCATGAGCCCCATGAGCACGCTGTCGCTGATCCACGCGCTCGAGAGCGACACGACGTAGATGTCGAGCATGAGCTCGCCCGCGATCGCGTGGATGAGCGACGACTTGCCCGAGCCGGGCACGCCGTGCAGGAGGTAGCCGCGCCGGAAGGGGATCCCGCGGTCCGCGTACCACTGGGGGGGGGGGGGGTTAGTTGCGGCAGCTAGCCCCGCTGCAGCACTCGACGCGGCGCACCTTCTCGCTCGCCAAGAAATCGCGCGCGTCGCCGAGCAGCATCTCCTTCACGCCCGGGTCGAGCACGATGCTGCCCATGGGGCGCTTGTGCCGCGCGTCGGCCCAGCGCCACGAGCCGTGCGGGTCTGCGAAGAAGATCTGCGGGGGGTTAGTGTGGGTGGAGGGGAGGAGAGGAAGGGAAGGAGGGAAGGAGGAAGGGAGGGAAGGAAGGAAGGACGGAACGGCGCGAGGCAGACCGCGCGCGGGAGAGGAGGCGTCGAAGCGCGAAAGGAAATAGGACGGGGTAGGATCGATTGGACAGCGAGGACGAGGACGCCACGCCACGCCACGCCGCATCCGCAGCGGGCCACGGGGAGGGACGACGAAGAAGAGGGCGCGCAGACGCAGACGCACCTGGATGCGATGCACCGCCTCCGCCTCGTACTCGCGCTTCGCCTGCAGCACGAGCGCCTTGAGGATCGTGTTCGAGCGCGCGACGACGCTGTGTGGGTGGCGGGGTGGCGCGGTCGGGTGGCGAGTGGATCCCACGAAAGAGGAGGAGGAGGGAGAAGCGGAGAGAAGCGTCAGCGTGCGGTCCGATGCCGTGCAGAGGACAAGAAAAAAGAGAGAAGGAAAAGAAGAGAGAGAAGGCCGCGCAGTTGGACGGAGGGCAGCGACGCCGCAGCGACATGCAAGGCGACGACGTCACCCCCAGCGACCCCCCACCGCCCCCATCGCCCCCCACCTCACCCCACCCCCACCCCACCCCACCCCCCACCCCACCCCTCCCAAAAAAAAACACAAAAACGCACCTAACGCTCAACACCTCGCCGCCATCGGTCCCGCGTGCGCGGCGGACGCGCAGCCAGTGGCCGCGCCAGTAGATGGTGTGCGTGGAGTCGAACGTGGGCTGGAAGATGACGCGCGTCTTGGACTTGGTGGGGGTGTCTGTGGGGGTGAGTGGTTGTTTGTTTGGGGGGGGGGGGGGAGGGAGGGAGGGGGATGGGGAGGAGGGGGGCGGGGCTGTGCAGTCAGCATCCCCAGGCGTGGCGCACGACGACGACGCCGAGTATCGAGCCACGGTGCCGCCAGCACGCTGCGCCGCGTCCACCTCGCTGGCCTCGGGGCCGGCATGCGGACGGACGACGAAGAGGACACGACAGGGCGGGGGCGGGGCGGGAAAGGAAGGAAGGACGGATGGGGGAAGGCAGGGCGGGACGAGCAGAGCAGCGCACGCACCGTCGTCGTCGGGGTCGAGCTCGGGGTCCTGCTCCCAGCCCTGGGCCTGGGCCGCGTGGGCGGCGCGCGTGGTGGTCTCGAACTCGCGGGAGCGCTGCCATTCGGGGCTGTGGCGGGCGGGTAATATATTGTGTATTGGATGGTGGTGGCGGGTGGCGCAGAAGCAGAAGGGGCGGCAGCAATAGCAGGAGAGCAACTGTCAGAAGCGCAGGCAGAGATGCGCAGGGGCGACGCACCGGCGCGAGAGCCACAGCATCAGCCAGTCGTACGGGTGGTCCTCTCGAAAAGTGCGCCGTCAGGAAGAACGCTGCGCACGTCAGCCACGACTAGCACCGCAGAGCTACTCACAGTTGACAAAGTGGTTCCTGGTCGCAGTCGGTCAGCATCGGAGAGCAGCGGAGGGAGGGACTGACCAGGCAGAGCTGGATACGCGGCGGGCAGTCTCGACGGTGCCGCCGAGGACGACGAGCTTCATGCCGTCGACGACGGACGAGCCGTTGACGAGGGGCTGGACGAGGGAGCGCAGGGCGTCCATCGTGGTGGTGCTGGTCAGACCAATGTGTGCAGTCGAAGTGGTTCGCTAAACGCCCCAGTCAGAACGACGCGTCACTCGCTGCCATGGATTCGGCCCATTTCCCGCATAAGGCAGGCCGTACCCGCATTAGGCAGGAGCTCGAATTACCCCGGTCCGCATCCTCCTTGAGTGGCTCGCGATGCACCCCCCGGAATCAATTGCCAGCGCCAACCTGCGCTGGCCCAACGCACCCAATAAACCTGTTCATTATAATTACACCTTACATTAACCCGGCCCCCGTACAATCGCACCCTCAAACGCGGCTCCCGCACCGCACGTAGGTCTATCTACATCAATTATACACCCACGTCTACAGCTGCGTGCACCTCCAATCGCGGCTCCGCTGTGCGGCGCGCATATTAACAGCCTTCTATTAACAGCTCTGCGCTCCCACCGTCCCAAGCTGTGAAGCAACTCCCACGATGAAGTCTGTAACATTGCAGCGCGCGTTTTGGGTGCGGCGAGCGAGACAGGGGAAAAAAATAACCCGTGGATGCGTCGGCAGGGAGTCGAACCCCGGTCTCCCCCTTCAACCCTTCGAAAATTCTGAATACTTGTGAGGCGTGCGCCGTGCACCACCGACGCTGTCTTCTTCCCTTGCAGCCCTGTTTAAAACCTCGGATTTCTGTTTCCCCCGTGCCAGAAAAGGCAAAACTTTACACGCGACAATATGCACCGGCGGGGAGTCGAACCCCGGTCTCCTCCTTCATCCTTTCGAAAACTCTGAATATTGTTGAGGCGTGCACCGTGCACCACCGACGCTGTCTTTTCCTTGCAGCCCTGTTTAAAACCTCGGATTTCGTTTCCCCCGGCCAGAAAAGCAAAAGCTTTACCGACCACAATATGCGTCGGCGGGGAGTCGAACCCCGGTCTCCCCCTTCAATACTGACACTCAAATGAAATAAAGAGGGGTGCACCGTGCACCACCGACGCCGTCCTCTCTTTTCCTCAAAGCAATCGATCCCCCATCTAGCAAGTAGAAAAAAAAACATACGAATATTCGCATATGCGTCGGCGGGGGGTCGACCCCCTTCTAGATCTCCTCCTTCAGTGTTTTGCTGACTCCACGTATTTTTGAGGCGCGCACCGTGCGCCACCGACGCTGCTTCTTCCCTAGCAGCCCTGTTTAAAACTTCGGATTTCTGTTTCCCCGCGCCAGAAAAGGCAAAACTTTACACGCGACAATATGCGTCGGCGGGGAGTCGAACCCCGGTCTCCCCCTTCAAATCTACACTCAATACTGAAATAATGAGGGGCGTGCACCGTGCACCACCGACACTGTCTCTGTCCATCTAATTTTCTTTCCACGTCTGTGCTGACGAAGAAGAAAAAACAGACACAGAAACCTTGATGACCAATGCGTCGGCGGGGAGTCGAACCCCAGTCTCCCCTTCAAACCTACAAACCGCAAACGAAATAATGAGGGGCGTGCACCGTGCACCACCGACGCCTCCCTCTCTATACAGTATTCTCTCTCCTCTCGGTTGTGATCCCTGCTCAGAGAGAGAGAATCCATTCCCACTCGTGAACTCGGGGAGTTCAATCCCACGAACTCGAACGTGCGCCTCGTTACTATCACAATGCATACCTGAATACTGTATCCTCGGTACGCAGCCATGCCGCAGCAACGAAGGACAAAAATACAGTATATCAGAATGACATGCGTCGGCGGGGAGTCGAACCCCGATCTCTTCCTTCAACCTTCGATGCCCGAACATTTTTGGGAGGCGTGCACCGTGCACCACCGACGCTCCTCTTCTACCCAACTCTCACCAGAGTCGTACACCCGATTGCGAAAACAGAGTTTTGACGCGGACCTCGCAATAAATAAAAAGTTATTTCAACTGATGCTAGAACGCGTCAGCAGGGGCCTCTCCTCCTCCTTCGACCGTTCGAAAACTTGCTATATTTTACAAGGCATGCGCCGTGCACCACCGACGCTTTCCTCTATCCTGGTGCGGCCCCCGTATGATAACATTACCTCGAGCCGCACTGATGGCTGTAAAAAAAAATGGATGCTGCGTTGCATGCGCTGGCGGGGAGTCGAACCCTACTAATAGATTCTCTTGGCCATGCATCAATCATTTGTCAGCTGATAGTCCATTTTTTGGCTGGGGCCAAGCCGGCGGAATGGCTTGCCAAGCCATCAAAATGGCTTGCAAGCCGAAAAGCCGGGCGTGGGCGGGTGATCCCACCCAAATCCACGCCCCCGCCCGAAACAAGCGGGGGCAAGCCACTTTTGCAAGCCAAAAACGTCACTCTCTCCACCTCCCCGCTCGCCGTCCGTGTACGTCTTAAGCCGTGGTTTTATCTTGTTTCCGATCCTCTTCATTATGGGTCTCTGCGAATTGACAGCGAACAAGGATCGCAAACCATCAAGAACCTCCGCCTGCCTTGCTCTTGCCTAAGGCATCGCTGGGGCACCCTTTGGATCGAACTAGGGATTCACCACATCTCTTACTTGAGATTTTGGGATGGATCCTGATTCATTTCGGAGGCTTCCTCGACGAACGCCACCGAAATCACAGGCTTGTGAGGATAACTGGCTGTCCATCAGTGTCAGAGGCAAATTTCAGGACGAAAAATGACTACCCAATTTTTCCTGCACGTATACGGCTATGGGACGATAGTCAGGGCTCCGATCTCGAGGAAGATAAAGGACCGAACCCATGGCAAATTGAGCATAGCTATCAGCTGCCCAGAAATTAGAAATTACAAAACAACGAAGAGCATGGCCTACCGTTCCTGGCTGTCTGCGCCACATTGTCCCCGTCATTGTTTCTTGCAAGATATTTGCAATATGTTGGCCCAATGGCGCCGTATTCCCGCCCACGATACGTCGTCGTTATATCGGTGACTTTCGTATGCTCTAAATCAACTTACCGGGGAAGTGATCATAGTGAGCTCACTCTGAGGCTGTCCCACGGCGCTTATATGCATAATCTCGTGCAGAAATATCAGCCCTGTGTGAATTTTCCCTCAGTTACTCTCACCTCTCGTAGTGGACACGAACACACCTTGATTGCGGTCATAGCTGCGAAGATCGAACTTGTCACCGCCTCGTTCCGGATCTGCCGCATATTGAACCGCTTCCTCCAGAGATCGCTGGGTGAAAAACAGGGGGCAGAAATTGAGCAGTGGGTATGGTTTCGGTTCGGGGCGGACGTGATAGGCAGACATTGCGGGACTGCAGAGCCCGGCAGGGTCGTTGCAAGTAAGGTTGACATAGGAGTTCTTGAGCCAGTCATCCCATTTCGGTTGATATGCTGCAGCCCGCGCGAAGTTGTCTATTACCGAGCGAGAAGGATTACTTTCTTTCTGTGCCACAAATCGAACGGCATACTTTGGATGATTCTTCGATAGCCTCCATCGATGAAACCCGGACCTCCAAAGAATTCCAGCGCTGCGATCCAGATGAAGTTGATATTTATTCCCTTCGAGCCCAGGAGAGCGGCGTCCTTGAAGGCCTGCTCGAGTTGTGATTTCTGGGAGGCGTCACATCCGGCGAAATTGGTGGGGGAAACAAGGGGAGATATGGTTCTATTCGGCAGTCGGTGCGACTCCCAGGGGATTTGGGCTGCGTCTTCTCCACGAATGGAGAGGACCAGCAATGCCATCAGGCAAGCAATGCCATCAGGCAAACGGTGGCTTTGAGCATGGGTGATGGGACGAATGACAGGAGAAAAAAATGTAACCCTTGAACATCGCCGCATGACAGCCCGGTAATCAGTCTTGGTCACGATCCGGCAATTGCAACAGGTAACCAAGCAACCAGCGAGATGTTTATGAGTGTACTGTCGTTGAGTCTGGCAGTCCCCAGAAAAAACGTGTTCATTACAACCGCATGCGTCAGCGGGGAGTCGAACCCCGCTCTCCCCTTCAAATTTCACCGGGTCCTCCTTGAAATAATGAGGGGCGTGCACCGTGCACCACCGACACTTCTTCCAATGTATCATAATCCTGCCCTCCTCCCAGCTGTGCGTCCCATGCACTTTTCGGGCCAAAAATATCGAGAATGCCAGACTATGCGTCGGCGGGGAGTCGAGCCCCTTCTCCTCCTTCCACTTTCTGATGCCTGAACTTTTTGGGAGGCATGCACCGTGCACCACCGACGCTCCTCTTCTACCCAACTCTCACCCTAATCTCACCACCGATTGCGAAACCTCTTCGACCTCGACCAGAGAAGAAGAAAAAAAGTTCTTTGCCACGATATGCATCGGCGGGGAGTCGAACCCCGGTCTCCTCCTTCAACCTTTCGAAAATTCTGAATGTTTTGGAGGCGTGCACCGTGCACCACCGACGCCGTCCTCTATCCTCCTCCGAGTCATCGAACTCACCCATCCAGTAATCAGCCAAGTGGGCAAAAAACGCACCTAATGTCAACATCGACCCCTTCTCCTCCATCAACTGTTCGAAAACTCTGGTTATTTTTGAGGCGTGCTCTGTGCACCACCGACGCTCTCTCCACCAGGATCCAGTCCTCCAATTTCTCTTCCCTTGGACCGGAGAAGAAAGAAAAAAATCATTGCAACTGCATGCATCGGCGGGGAGTCGAACCCCGCTCTCCCCTTCAAATTTCACCGGGTCCTCCTTGAAATAACGAGGGGCGTGCATTGTGCACCACCGACACACTTCCTCCAATGTATCATAATCCTGCCCGCCTCCCAGTTGTGCGTCCCATGCACTTTTCGGGCCAAAAATATCGAGAATGCCAGACTATGCATCGGCGGGGAGTCGAACCCCTTCTCCTCCTTCAACTTTCAGACCCTGAACACTTTTGGGAGGCGTGCACCGTGCACCACTGACGCCTTCCTCTCCCCTCCTGGAAGTCATTGAGTTCACGATTTTCTCAGCTAATTGGAAAAACCCCTTCTCCTGCCTGAACCCTTTGGCATCCGAATATTTTCGGGAGGTGTGCGCCGTGCACCACTGCCGCTCTCTTCTTCCCTTGCAGCCCCATCTAAGACATCGGATTTCTGTTTCCCCCGGGCCAGAAAAGAAAAAAGACTACAAGCAACAATATGTGTCGGCGGGGAGTTGAACCCCAGTCTCCCCCTTCAAATTCCCCAGGTACTCAATGAAATAATGAGGGGTGTGCACTGCACACCCCCAACGCCTCCCTCTCTACACTCTGCTCTCCTCTCGGTTGTGATCCCTGCTCCGACAGAAAAATCCATCAATTCTCCCTTGGGAACTTGGGGAGTTGAATCCCACTAACTTGAACATATGCCTTGTTACTATCACAATTCATACCTGAATATCCTCGGTACGGCCATCTCACATAGGTCTTAATATTTTATTGCTCATGGCTTGCTCCTCCAGATGAGTACAGTCTACTCTGTCTTCAGCCATACTTGTCATAACCCATACTCTGTTAAACCCCATAGATATTTGGTGTCCACCCAGGTGGTTCCCAATTAAACCCCATAACCCTTGAGTACTCCACAATCCATAGATTTTTCGGCGCTCAGAACCCATAATTTACCCCTATCTCCATTATTTACAATTGTTATTTTGCTGCACACATCATGCTACCCCACCCGTCTCTCGAGATACTTAAGAAAGAAAGGTCTTACTGTGCTCAGGGACAGTGTAAAAAAAAAGTAAAGATGGTCTCATAGAACATCTCAATAAGAAGGAGAAGATCAGGCTCGGCTAGATACCAACCCAAATTTATAAAATTGTCATGAATATCATGTGGATGAAGATGCCGTGACCGACAGGTTTTAGAACACATCAGATTATTAACACGGTTTCTCGTGTCTCAATGCAAAGGCAGTTGGACTGGTTGAAAAATTGAAGGAGCTTTGAGCTCTGCAGGCTATTTCGAAACTGCTTAAGGACCTCGAGGACGTGGATGGGCTGTTTGCCTGCAAGTTCGAGCTTTGTATGGCGATGTTTGGACGTAAAATACGCTAATTTCTACTTCCATTACCGACTACTTAGTGCCTAAATAAGTAGGAAATATTTGGGATTTTTTCAATTTGTTTTTTCGACCTCTGTCGAAGCCCATACTCTGCAATAACCCATATTTTCCTGAGGGGTATAGCTTAAGACAGAGTAGACTGTATTCGGATACATTTGTTGTGCTGTATTATGTACATCCACGCGACGCGATCACGGCTGCATCCACGTGATTGATCACTTCGCCTTCAGATCGGCCATGTCGAGGCAGACCTCACCGGCCTTACCTGCAAGCCAATTTCTTGCAGAAAAGGCGCTGGAAGAAATCCTGGAACGGGCAGCGCCAATCCTCGGTACGCTGCATCTCACTCTGTCCACCAAAATTCATCCTCGAGTCAGGCAGAGACCATGGATGCTCTCCCACGTGCAACTGGATGGCAAAGATCAGTGACGATATAAGACTGGTGGACATGAATCTCCCTGGGACTCATGATGCTGCAACATGTACTCAAACCTTTTTTGTTTCCATGTTCGACTGAATCGTACATTTGCTCAGGGGACTATTCCGATGCCCGACAGGCCGAGCTTGTCCGGTACACAGGACCGTGAGCGCCGTGCCTTTTTTGTTTGTTGCAAAGATAAAGCAGGAAAGTCGTTTCAGGATACGTGCAGCCGCATTCTTTCGCTGTCAGGGGCGTTCTCTGGCGCAGTCGCTGAACGACGGTATACGTGTCTTTGACCTCCGGCTTGGGTATAATCCCGGGAACGACACAATCGGCTTTTACCATGGTTTGTAATCTCCGTTCTGGTGTTTCTCATGGCGACTGACTAGGCCGATTAGGGGTTG